CTAGAGAAGGAAGATGTGCTAAACAGTGGCAAGCAGCAAAATAGGTTATGAAAACTGAGTCAAAAACATTAGACAAACTCATCCATCAGTGTATTTTTTAAGGACTGAAATCTTCCCACACTCAAAACATTTCAGACTGGAAAAATCTTTAACACAACTTTTTTTTTAAAAAAAAAATACAAAATTACACCTTGCTGTAAAAAGTTCTCTTTCACTTGACTATTACTTTTAGGAATCAGTGACACCCTTCTATTTTAATTAATTTGTCATGATCTGGACTTGAGAGTTAGTCATGTTCATCGCTGCTAATAACGTGAGCTGGCACTAGCAACAACCAAACATAGGCAAAAAACCTGAAACACAAATGTTTAACTTACTAACACTGAAAATTAACCATTACATAAATCTTTTTAGTAGCAAAAGTGTCTGAAAAATATTTTTTTTCCAATAATTTAATGCAACAGATTTCATCTCTAAATTAGAACAAATCTTAAAGTATACTTCACCTTTTCCAGTTCTTTTGGTATCCGCATGCATGTGTACACTCTCTCTCTCCGCTCTGTGTATTTTGCTTCATTGTGTTCAAGGAAGTAACCTCTTGTTAACTCAGCACTGATGAATCTCAGCAATGAAAGATCTACATTCAGGAACACACAAGCAGAAGATACTTCAGGCATGACCTCCAAGGAGTGAGGAAACTGCTATGCTTTTGTCACTTGCTACAAGTCTCATTTCCATCACATTAACAGAGAGGGATTCTGCTGATTGTAACCAGAATGTCAAATAACTTGGTATGGAAGGAGCCATATGTGAAGCAAGTCCTGTGCTCTCCCATTCCCTTGTTGCCTCCCAACAAACAAAACAAGCTACTTTTCCCAGCCAATTATTTTCATCAGACATGCTGCTTCTCCAAAACATTACTCAAAGCACCTACATTGAATGCAATATGCTGAGTGGATCTAATCTGTAATGTACTGACAGTCCTCCTAAATTTACTAAGCTCTATTTTAGCCTTCTTAAAAGGTATTTTCTCTCTCAGCAACACTAGCAACTTGTTCTTTATTTTAAAGAACAACTTTCTGTAGGTTCAAAACTTTCATGGATACATGATCCCATATGATTCACTGCACAAACAGTACAAGCAAGCTTGTTTGATTTGATTTGATGATCAGACCGAAGTCTTCCAAGATCAAAAAGCCATCAAGCATGTACAGGTCTTGTGCATTTTAATGGCTGTAAGTAAGTAAGCCAAAAGCTGACTGACCTATGTTTAGTCAACTCATATGGCTTCTAAAAAAGACTTTGTGCAGAGTAGTCTTGCAAAAGGAAATACAATTTGAAATTATGAGTATGAAAATTCAAGCTGTCAGCACAAGGAGGTTGAGCTTAAGCTTTGACACTTACTGACAAGGTCTGACATTATCACCGCCTGGTAACACTTCAGAAGTGACAGAACACTACAATAAAGTTCAACATTTCTGGTTATTAATGGCATTTAAAAACAGAAACTCTCAGTGTTCATGCAACATCCAAAACATGGAAGTCTATTTAGAGAGATAGGTGAAAAACTACACAGCATTTACCACGATGCAAGAACATGCTCACGAATAGTAAATTCAGATTTTAGCCAAAGTCTTAGTGACTAGTTGCGGGGGCAGGGTGGACCCTGCATGGTACAATGCTCCACAATTTTCGGGGGAGGAAGAGGCTGCCCAACACACCCTTAGTAAAACTGCCTAGGTAACAGCTAAGAGAGGAATGCGAGTGTAGATGCTACGTGTTAAGAGTTCACCCAAAACTGTCGAAGATACTGGCTTCTCAATATTCATCACATAGATGATGAAGACCATTAGCTGGAAGAGTAGCCAGAAAATTACTGTGAGTTTTAAAGCAAAGAAGTAAGTACAGAAACAGAAGTACAGAAGAAGCAGAAGACGCAGGGTGTGCATGTAACCTACACTGCCTTGGGTGGGGGGCATATGTACTGAGTGTGATTAGAACCTGTGGGGGTTACAAATGGGCATTTCAAAGTTTGTTGTGGTGTATTATGTCTAGTACTGTGATTTAGCATGTTGCTAATACTGATCACAGCTACATAAATCACTGACCGCTGGTTAATTATGTATTGTTAATAAATCATTTAAATAATTATTGCCTTTAAACTACGTGAACTGAACAGTTTCTCCCTGTATGAGCTTGTTTGGACAATGATTTTGATGATTTAGATATTACTGATCCACTTCTACCAAGTAGGCCAAAGCCACTGTAAGCCTTAAAGGTATTTATTTCAAAACAAAAACAACATGTAGTTTAATGAGTAGTAAAAAACTAATATTGACATGAAAAGTTTCAATCAAAGTTCATTCCAGCAAAGTAAAGCAGAAGTTCATACTACTAAATAATTTTTCAGATCTCTTGCAAACTTGGAGTCTTCCTTTGTAACACTGTCACTTCTAACTTTTTGTTTTTCCCAATTCTTTCTTGTTTAAAAAGTTAAAAGTAAAAAGAGAAACCCTTTGGTATAAACATACAAATTAACTACGCTGTTAACTGCCCAGGTGTATCTTCTTCCACCTCAGATAACCAACCTTCTCTAACTTAAAGATAATGCATCTCAAACAACTGAAGTTTCCTCTTAAGTAAATATATGCATAAGGACAACCACCATGGAGTAACTTACAGGTCCCTTATGGTTACCTTCCAACTTCAGATCTTCTTTGAGTCTCACTAAAGAGCTATTTGTTCCCACTCCTTCCTATCTCACACAAACTGGTTCACTGGCCTGTTGTTGAAAAACAAATTATTTTAAGTTTCCTCCACCTGGCTAGACTTTCATGCCCTAGATATTAAGAGATAGTTACTCCTCATGTCAGGTTGATCAATACCCAAGCTCCAGTGACAGGGGCTGCACTAAAGCACACAGTCACTCAGCTGCTTCCCTTCTGAGCACTTACTGCCACCCAGCATCAGCCCTAACTCTGTGCCAGCTGTGAAACAGATCAGCAGCTGATCCTGTAGAAAAAACACAGTAAGCACGAGATGCCAAGGCATGACACAGTAATAAATCATTTGAAAAATGGCTTAATTCTGCTATCAAAGCATCTTTTTATTTTAAAAATAAGTAAACACTCTAATTCCTACTTCAAATTCCTTCCCTACTTCAAATATCCCTCCTCTGCAGTCAGAAAGTTTTAGACCACAGCCTAAGCTTAAACTGTTAAGCTAGCATAGTCTTAATACTGAAAGTATTCTCCCTACCTCAGGACAGAAAAGCACAGGCATCTTCAAAACATAAAAGGCCACCAATTCCTTCACGGTAAAAAGATAATGATTTACCCAAGTTATACTTAATGCATAGCGACACAAAGGATAACCATTAACCAGAAATGGAGAGGAAAATCTGTGCAAATGCACTGCACCACAGTAAGTTTCTATTGTTATATAATCATAATTTCAGTCCTAAATGCAACAATTCACTCTCATCAATCCTAAATACACACTTCTTCCATAAACACTCAAATAAATCAATCAAGACTAAACCAGCACAATATTAAAATAAAAATTCCCTTTTTCTCTATAAAACTTCTCTGTACAGTACTGGTCCTGCTTTACCATCATGAAAAACCCCTACTTCTCTCTATTATTTAACATATTGCTACCAATAGATGAGTTAGAATTTTTAGTTGCTCTATCAAGAAGAGCGTTCTAACATTTTCTTGTCCTGAAGAGTCAGAGAGCACCAACAATTTTTAACTACTTTTTAAAATTTAAAATCAATTGCTGAAACAGGAATTTTCCCACAAACACACAAATAGAACTGTTTCCTTACGTTTTATAAAGTTATTTGTTCAGCTGTCTTTCAGGAACATCAGTATGTATCTTGACCATTCTTTTGTTCACCACAAAGCAACCTGTAATACTACAATCAAGCCAATTCCTTACAACTACAGAAATTACATTAGTTTCATCAACACCAGAGAACTGCAGTCAATGATGCCGCATGTCCTATGACATAACACGTCAGAAACGGACACAGCACCTGTCAAACTTAGAAGGAAAGTATTCAACTGTTGGTGGATTAATTTTTTTTTTTTTTTTTTGAGAAGACCAGCAGTATCACACTCAAGTCAACACTGAGGCAGAAAGCCTGGAAATTTGAATACCACTTTGAGCACTTCCCAGATTTTCAGCAAGCCACTCAATTAAGACTATGGTATTAATACAGTTATTTATAACCTTACCACCACTAAATCAACTCTGCCACTCTAAGTGACAATCTTTACAAAAAAGGCACGGCTATTTTCAAAAATTACTCCATAGATACCTGAAATAACTAGTTCGAGTATAAATGTAAACATAGCTGCAGACTTATAGCAGAGGCCATGCCGTTTTCCCTTATTTTTCCCTATAAAATCCTGTTAGTAAACTACACTTAGTTTAAAAGACTTCTAATAATCTGCATGCAACTTCAAGGCTCCAAGAGCACCGTTATTTTCAGTAGTGGAGGCAAAGACCACCGCACTCCTCGCTGCGTGTACGTAACAAGAACCGCGG